GGGGAGGCCAGGCCCCGGGGAGCACTGCCCAGCGTCCGTGTTGGGCCTCACCGCAGCCAGACGCAGCTGCTGGGTGTGACTTCCACGCGGTTTCTTTATGGTGAGGCGGCGTTTTTCACATAAATGTCTGGCATCTTAGAGACGTGACAAGTTCATCGCGGCAGGAAGTGGGCCAGCCCTGCCTCCACACTCTGCTTCTGACCGATGGTTGGAGGTCTGTGGTCGGATGACGTCAGGGAATCGGGCGCTACATGACCATTTACACAGACATCTCCGTGTTCTCCGCAAGCCAGGCCGCCCCTCTCTGAGCAGGGTGCCCGCTGGCTCCAAGGAGAGTCAGCCTGCGGAGCTGGACTTCTGTGCACACCTGGTGCTGAGACCAAGGGAAAACCCTCATCAGCCTTTACCTGCAGGGTCTGCTCCAGGTGCGGCCTCACTGGCTTCCAGGCCCCCACCACCCCCCACCCAACACCCGGCCCCGCATGGGGACCTCTGCCCCGCAGGCAGGAGGGGGAGGAGGCAGGTGGGACTGAGCTCGGGAGCTGACGCAGGAGGCACCTGTCTGAGGGCCTCTGGGTCCCACCAGTCCCTGGACCTGGTCCTCAGACCTGGGCGTCCCCGCCTCAGTGAGCACTCCTTCGTCCTGAGAGCGGAGACTCTGCGGCCTCACGAAGGCCCGGCCGGGAGGGTGGTCCCTGCCCAGGCAGTTCCTCCAGCAGCTGAGGCTGTTCATATTAGCAAAATCACAAAATGCAGCCTAAAGAGGAGCAGGAGAGGCGGCTGGTACCAGCTCACTGGGCCTGAGCCGCCAGCTGGTGCCCGCCCCGCACCTGCGGCCTGAGCACAGGCGCTTCTCAGGTCCCACCCACGCCCACAGCTCCCGGGGATGCCGTCTTGCCCACGACTCGTCTTCTGAGTGGGTTTTACTTCTCCAGCCGGACTGAAACGTAGGCACCAAAACTAGTGTCGCAGGGACAGGGGTGGGCCGGCGGCCTGCCCGACTCGGTCCTCCCCACACCCACACGGTGCTCCCCCCCAAATACCTGGAAATGGGATGGCAAGGCCCTGCGCTTGCCACCAGCCAGCCACCTCCCCAATATCAACCTCCCACTAATGGTGCCACTTCCCACACCATCTCTCAGGACAGGGGCAATGGGCGAACCGGGATGGCCCGGCCTGTTCGCTGCCATCAGACCCCGCCCTCTGGGGCCAGTGGGGGACTCCCGTCAGGCCTGAGCCCTCTGAGGCCGCAGCCGCAGTGGGGCAGGAGGGGAAGCTGGCCTTGCTAAGAATAACCCTTCCGAATGGCTGAGTCTCCGTCGACCTGGGAAACATCCACACCTGTGAGAACGGCGACAGGGGTTTGTTAAGGCCTGGCCGGGCTCTCATCATCCGGACATGCCAAGGTTGCGGATTCGGTCTTCAGTCAGGGCATGTGCAAGCACCAATCAATAAGTAGAACAACAAATCAATGTTTCTCTCACTCTCAAATCAATAAAAAAAATTAAAAAGTTTATTTGAGCCAAACTGATGACAACGCCAGGATCTCAGATGCTGGGGGAGGAGTTTGCAGTCTCTTCTCCGCGTTGGGAGTGAAGGCAGGACCACGGGAAGCTCCCTGCGGGAGCACAGGCGGGTGGGTTACGGGACAGCAGCCTGCGTGCTCTCAGGAGGTGGGGGCAGCTTATTTCAAAGCCGCAGGAGCCCTGCCTGGCTGCTGCTGCCGGGGGACTGCCACCGGCCTGCCCAGGTGTGCGTGGGCAGGTCCCGCTGCCAGGCCCCATGTCACCCATGCCTCCACCTCCGCTTCCCGCCTTTGGTTGGAGACATTTCCTGTGGCTGCTCCAGGGGCAGCGTCCCTCCTGCTGGGGAGTCTGCCCTGCTTCCTGGTCTCGCGTTAGGAAGTAAAGTCCCAGAGGTGACTGGCAGGTATCAGCTCACACACTGGAACGCAGATGCTTTTGCCTGACCTCGGGTCCAGAGAGTGGCGGTGAGCAGCCCGCCTCACGGGCAGTTCAGCTTCGCGGAGCGAGACCTGGAGGGTCAGGGCAAGGATGCAGAGTAGATGGGGGCAGGTCTCAGGCCCAGCCTCCGCCCAAAGCTGCTCCTTGCTGCTCTTAAGCCACCAGCAGAGGGCAGCAGGGGGCAAGCTCTGGGCAGTGTCCAGCCTGCAACTCCAACCAGGGCGGTGCTGGGTCCTGGGAGGGAGGGTGAGGCCACTGCCCGGGCCTCCAGGAGGCCACCGTGGGAGGCCCCCCATGGGAGAGGGACGAGAGGGAGCCTGTACCGGGAGGTGAGGACAGCCCTGCCCAGCGCAGGAGGGACCAGGGTTGTGGGCGGCAGAGGGCTCCTGGTGTCAGACCAGCGGGGTCAGACCACACTGGGCTCAGCAGCCTCGGTGCTTGGGTTCGGGCGAGGAAAGAATTCAGAGCCAAGACCCAAACTGTGAGAGAACGTGCCCTGGGTAAGTCTCAGAGGGAGGAGTAACTCCTAGAAGAAATGGGCTAGACAGGAGCTATGGGGGTGAAGGAAGGGCCCTTGGAGCTGGGGGGGAGGGAGGTAAAGGTAATGTGCAGGGAATGGGGAGAAGGGGAAGGCAGGGATGCGCTGGGGGAGGGGGAAGCACCCTGTGTCCTCCGTCCTGAGGGTTTTAGGGGGAGACTTTGGGGCTCCCAGGGAAGATCTCAGCAGCTTTCCAGGTGCGTCCTCCCAGGTCAGGTCTGCGCTGACTGACTGGCCGGCACCAGGGCAGGGTAGGGAGGTAAAGGTAATGTGCCCGGGGGGAGGCGGGAGAAGGGGAAGGCAGGGATGTGCTGGGGGAGGGGGGGAGCACCCTGTGTCCTCTGTCCTGAGGGTTTTAGGGGAAGACTTTGGGGCTCCCAGGGAAGATCTCAGCAGCTTTCCAGGTGCGTCCTCCCAGGTCAGGTCTGCGCTGACTGACTGGCCGGCGCCAGGGCAGGGTCATTGTCCAGTGCAGCTGGGCCTGAGGCAGCCAGGGGGTCCCAGAGCTCGATGTCACCTCTGGGGAGGAAAGGTCAGGGGTCCAAACCCCATGACCAGCGACGTGCTGGGGAGGCAGGTCAGCCAGGGGCAAGGCCCGCCCCACCATTGTCCATTGCTAGGCCCCGGGGCTTCCCGCCCAGGTGGCCTTCTGTCCCTGGCCCCCCACCCTGGCTCTGCTCACGTTGGTCTGCCCACAGCAAACAGGTACAGGAGCAGGTGGCAGGCACAGCTTCTCAGAAGAGCCCTGTGGCAGGCAGGCAGAGGGGCGCGGGACTGAGGACAGGAGGCGGGAGGCTCGAGCGGCCGGCTTGAAGGCTGCACCCGCCAAGTTTTCTGTCCCAAGCCAGCAGCTACCTCCCGGGGCTGAAGCTCGTGGACGAAAAAGGGGGAATAATTTCCCAGGGTGACCTGTTCCTATACTCCCACCCAGCAGGTCGTGGTGGGCAGTGCCACCAGGCCTGTAGCTTCCTGAGTGAAAGGCGTCTGCCTGCAGCCAACTCTGCGTGGGGGGTGCAGCTGGGTCCCCGTGCCTTTGCAAGGCCAGAAGTCACTCCCTGAGAGGGACAGCACCGCCTGGAGCTGTGACCTTCCTCCCCAGGCCCCCCCTCCTGCTCCCCCGCCCTCCCGGAGTCTTCCCCCCTCTCTCCTTCCGAATCAGATGCAGCACAAAGCCGTGTCACTGTCATTCTCGGGAGCCTGTGAGACCTTGCTTTGCGAATGTCAGTGAACTCTTAGGAACCATCCCCCACATTGTGGGTGTTTCTTAGGCCCCCCAACCACAGCAAGAAGCCAATCAGGACCGGGTCCCACTGGGCCTGGGAGAGGGGGCCCTGGGAAGCCGATGGCCGGCAGGGGGCAGCATCGACCAGGAGCTGCCTGGCTCCCGGTGAGTGGCTGCTCCCTTCCAGAGCCTCACAAGGCAACCAACCCTGTGCTGACTTCCCAGAGCTGTTCCGGTGCCCAATTTTGCAACCGTAGGAGACGCCACCCATTTAGTGAGGGACTGTGCGATCTGGTCACCAGTCCTGAGCCCCGACGCTGTTGGGCAGTCTCTAAAGAACCACTTTGCTCTTTTTATACAAGCAGAGAGGCTTTCAAAAGCTCACACAATTTTGGGGGAAAACAGATCATGTGCGTGTGTGAATGTGAGTGCCGGGGTTCTAGTCCCAGCATCAAGAAGGGTCCACGAATCTGGAGAAGGCTGTGTGTAGATGTCAGATAGGAATCCAGGGACTCATAAAGAGTCCAGAGGAGCTTAGCCAAAGGAGCTAAGGGGTCAGAGGAGCTTAGCCAAAGGAGCTAAGACCCAAGATCTTAAGTCTAAGGTCTTAGGTTCTCTCCTCCCCAGGACCCCATGCTTTTTATTAACACAACTTGTCCTGAGGGGAGGCAGAGGGTCAGGGTTTGGTACAGAGTCCATTGTCAAAATGGGGGAATTAGCCTACGGCTGTTCAGGTGTTTGGCCAGTA